TTGTCCTGTGGCACAGGTTAAGGACTTCGGAATAGCAGCAGTGAACTTACTTAGGTGGTGCTTTGGAGTAAGGAGTAACTAATGCAACTGTTGCTTTATTAAAAACAAAAAAAACCTCAATGTTTTTAATTTCAGCCACTCAGTTTTAGCAAAAGTCTTTTGATACTGAAACTTCATATGCTTTGTCTCAGTAGCCTTTGTTTTTATGTGACAAAATATAGACTTTGAGCTGATGGAGCACAAAATCTGAGTGCTGTAATAGCACCTTCCTATGCCTGAATATAGCTTTGGTTTTAAAAACTACAAATTAGTATGCTAGGGCATGCTTAGTGACACTAATTTGCCTTAAAATAATCAGTCTGCTATAAAAACAGTGTCTCAGGTAAGTGATATTAATACCAATTTCTGTATTGGTCCTGGGTGCTGAACAGTCTGCAGTGGTGGTCATGGTGTTGGATTGTAACCTAAATTTCTAATCTTTGACTTTGATGCCTCAAAATGGGCATTGGAAATAGGCAACCAGGCTATAAGATGGTGGGGCTTGGGATTGGTAGAAGTGACAGGATCTCCCTCAGAGGCCAGGGAGTGGAAGCGCAAAGTGAGAAAGACTGTAAGGAAATGTAAGTGAAGAGCAGAAGCTGCTGTTATCTCTCCTTCTTCCCACCAATTAAGTCCCCCAAAACTGTTCATGGATTACTGTTGTCAGGTTCACTCTGCCATCATCATGTCTTGCAGGAATAAGTACCTGGAGTGTGTGTGTGTGTGGTTTTTAAAGTGTGACGGGGAGGGGGGAAACCCTCATCTGTCCCAAATCAATCTTCTGGTGAGTGCCTCCTAGTTCTAGTGTGGAGGGACTTGTTGAACACCAGTCTTGCTGTTGCCTTGTTCATAACCCTTATGGTAAGGCAGCTGCTCCATTCCTTTAATCAATTTAGTTGCCCATTCTCTAACTCCAGTGCGTCCTCCTGGGGTGTGGAGAACAACTGCATGCACCATCAGGATGCAAATGTAGCAAGGCTTTATACAGTGGTAGAACTGGTAAATATTCATGCTTTACTGTTTCTCCACTGGTCTACCCTCAACATGAAGCCAAGCTTCCAGACATGTTTCAGAAGCAATTTATTCTGTAATTCCATTTGTTAGCTACAAGTGCTCTCCAAGGTCATAGGTTTTAGCATTAAATAAAGCAATTGATTTATAATCTCACAGACTGAGAATAAAGATAAGCAGCAGAGCAACCAGAGCCCTTGAGAATGTGTTTACTTTCTAACAGCTCTTAGTGGTATTTCCATAGGACACTGGTCACTAACTTCTTAGGAAAAAGAAAACAGTGACTTGGGAACTGGAGATGTCTCTTCTGTTTTCCCTAGAACAAAACAATTAGTTCCTCTCCATTTGATTTTTTATAAGTAAATTCTCTTGCACACTTATAAATCTTTTTCTAATATCCAGGAGTTTTTGTGTCCCCAAAAGATTCCTTATAAAAATTTAGCTAGTCTTTGTTGGTCAGAAATGTAGAGTTTAAAAGTAGGTTAAAAAAAAAGGAGCAATCGCTCGTTTTTAACGTGCACATCTTTGAGGAGCAGGGACCACTGCTAGTCCAAAAGAGAACTTCACTGGATGTTCAAATGATCTAAAATACGGCTTACCTCCAGTGCTTCCTTAAAAAAATGAAAATAATGTCTGAACTGGTCTCCCATCTCTAGAGGAAGTTGCTTCATGCTAGGGCTGAGGTAGGTTTGTAACACAGAGAAGTTGGTGTTCCATCTGCCCTCTGAGATGGTGAAAACTTTAATTGTCAGTCCCATGTTAAGTCTACTTAAAAATAGTGCTACCGAAACACATTGCTCTTATTTTAGCAGGATGTTAATAGCCATTGCACTCATTTTATGTGTTGCTCTGGCTCACTGGTGGCTCTGTGCCTCTCATGTGAAGTGGATGCTGTTGTCTAGCTGGTTTCTCTTTTGACTTGATGGCCTTTTTGACAAAAAGGATAAAGTATTTCCTATTACTCTATTGCATGTTATCATTGTGCTAATGGCTAATTCAGTTTGACTGTAGAAATGTATCACCTGCAAACCAGAATGTTGTTGTCTTTCAGAGCTGGCCCTGTTCTGTCTTGACAAAATAAAAACTTAAGTTCTCTTGTGAATTTTCAAATAGGTAAGCTTGTGCATAGGCAAGTGCTTACATTGAAACAAAGACTTCAAGCAGTGAGTGACAGGAATACCATTGAGCTAGTTAAATGCAAATAAGCCTTGCTTAATACTAAATGTATTTAGAAAACTTGTAGGAAAAAGGATGAAAATAACTGTTGCTATGCAAGTGAGCTGCTTGTCCTAATACTGATTAGTCCAGGGGGAAGCAGAGCTTTGCAAATATTAGGAATAGTTTTATATGATAAATAATCCACTTGATAGCTACTTAGATTGTTCATATTTTTCTTTGTAAATCGCTTACTAAAAGCTGACTGGCAGAAAGTGAGAACACTTGTACCAGGACTGGGCATAGATAGTGGAGGCCAAGTATGTGTTAGGCTTGCTGTGTTGGGTTTACCTGCCTCTCTCACAGCCAATGAACATCTGTACAGGTGATGTTTTATTTCTGCATCCATTTTCTCCCTGTAGTGTCTCTGCTGTTTGAAGGTCACAGGTCTGACAATCAATTTCGTTGGTTGATGCTTTTTACTAATTTTTTTAATGGTGTTTTAACTTTTTTATAGACATATTGAAATACTCATTTGTTATGTCTACAGCATGTGTCTATTGAAAAAAAAAATTGAATTAATGCTAGAGAAGCAAACCCACCCCAGGTGAGAGAGATTCTATTCTGTTCTAATAACTTGGCTTTTTACCAGACATTGTAATACTTTTTTCTTCAGCCACAGAAGGCTAAGGGTATAAGTTGAATCCAAGTAGATGAATCGCTGCCATCAGTTTAGTTGCGCTTTACCTGAATCCACAGGGCAGTGACCAGAAGCTGAGAGAGCAGATCAATTAAGATTGTGGTACAAGTAAATCTATTGTATTGTTATAGAGGCTTTAGATTATAAAATTCTTCTATAAAATAGGGTGAGCTGACAAGACAGGCCTGAATGGTGCTCTTGTCCTGTTTGTATAAAAAGTGATTAGACTAGGGTAGATCTAGGGCTTGGGGAGAGCAGTCTGGCTGCTTAGATGACTTCTTTCCCTCTCCCATTTTATTTAAATAGATGCATGCTTGCTTGCTGTATTCCCCAGCTGTAAGCATGTTCCTTTTCTTTACCTTTTGGAGGCTCGCGATTTTGCAGGCTTGACCCAGCCAGCTCATTTCTCCTCTAGCAAGCAAGCAGTCGTGAGTGGGACTATCTCCTGCCACTCACTGCTTCAGAGAAGTTTAGGTTCCCGAGTTAAAAGGCCAAGTTGCAAGCTATTTCATGGAATTATTTTATACCGTCAGACTGCATATCAACAATCCTTTCTCCCCATAGTTTAAAAATAACTTGATATCTCCTTTACAAGGACTTAAACTCTGGCATTTAAATTTATCTTCCCTTGAAAGCATTGCATTGCAGTGCCTTCAACTTCTCAGCTATGTTGAGGGGTAGAAAACTAGCTGTTACAGCTATGGGGGCAGCCTAAAGAGCTCTCTCGCTTCTTGTGATTGCATTAATGCTTTCTAATTGTAGAAAGGTATCTTAAATACCCCTGCTCTCAGGATTTTTCAAGCTATATGAATGTGAAACCTGATTAGTGTAAACTTAGTTTTGTCTGCTGCCGTTCAGAACTTGCTGCCTGTGGCTTTTAAACAAGTGCTGTGGTTTTAAAAAAAAAAAAAAAATCATGATAGGGACAGCAGAGATTGAAATGAATTACTGTGTGGAAGAACCCCAAAAGAAACCTCTCAAAGTGGTAGATTGCTTGCTTGGTGAAGAGATTTGAGGAGAGCTGGTTACTGACCATACCAACCTGGAGAGTCGGGGCAAATGCTACCCCAAAGTCCTTTCTGGGAGGAGTAGCAAACTTTTTGGCTCACTGAGGCTGATGCTCATGGAAGGGGGTACGTGTATGTGCACATCCGCCCTGCCCTGCCTGCAGTGACAGGGGCTGCAAGCACGAGCTCCTTCTAGGAAGCAGGTTTACTTCCCTGGTTGTTAGGTGTCTGATAGATTTCTCTCGAGCCCTTCCAAGCTGCGAAGGTAGCAATGACATTAGCTGTTTATAACCTGCTGCCTGTCTTTCTCTCGGATTTATTTCATGTAAAACCTCAGGCTTTTCTCATTTGCAGCTTAACTTCGTTATAAGGTGACTGCTTTTACTTCCAACTTCATTGATATCTATTACAAGCTTGCCCTGCAGTTCAAGGAAGAAGGTGCCTCGGGTTTCCATGAGCAACCCTAAGTGGAAGTCATAGTGTGCATGGCTTTTACAGTACTGATGATACATGTTTTGAACATCTGTTGTTACTCAGGGAATTTAGAAGGTTTTTTTCCACAAATACTGGTTTGCCCTGCATTAACACTTAAAAGTTCACCAAGCTGCTGTATATAGGAGCTAAGGGATGCAGCAATGTCACCAAGAGAAATCAATGGGCAGTCATCCATAGCACGTTGATTGTAGAGCGTACAGCTGAATGTTAAACATGTTTCCAGGGCAAGCTGTCAGCTTTGACGTTTGGGTACTGTGCAATGTAGATGGTGTAGCTGAACTGTAAAACCTCTAGAGCATCTGAACAAAGATCCTGGCTGTGGGAGGGAGATTGTGCGACCACAAAAAGTCCGTTTAAGTAAATGGAGATGTGGTTGTGTTTGGAGGGGATTAGAAAATGGTGCCTGAGAGCAGGAATTCCATGCTGTTGATGTGTGTGCCAGACCTGACCAAGGTGTTCTGAACAGCATATTTGCTAACCACAAATTGTGATTCTCAGCTCTGCCATACTAAAACATTTAGGTGGTAAAATACTCTGCTGGTAAGTGCATGTGTTGTGTTACACAGTTCTTAACCTATGCTTTTGTTCCTCAGTATTGAGTTCGACCGAGACTGTGACTACTTTGCCATCGCTGGAGTGACAAAGAAGATTAAAGTCTATGAGTATGGTACAGTCATTCAGGACGCAGTGGATATTCACTACCCTGAGAATGAAATGACCTGTAATTCCAAAATCAGGTAGGCGTTGACTTTGCATTTGAACTCAGAGGGCCTTTTCCATTTGCTTGTTCATGTGCAGTGACTGTTTTGCTTTCTTTATCCATTGTGGGAATGGGAGGGGAAGGGAGGAAAGCAGGAGCTGGTGGAGAGCTGGCTTTGAACTCTGGATGGGATCAGGTGGCAAAAGTACTGTTATTTGTGTATGCCAGGCTCATCCAAGGTAATAGCAGGCCCACATATCTGGAGGAGAAAGGGACATAGAGTAGTGAACTGCTTTTGTGTTCCTTGCAAATGCCGTTGGATACCTACTCAGTTAGAAGGAGAGTAAAAGTGGAGTAATGGATATGCTCCAGGTAAAGTCTTAGCTTGTCTCAAGGTAACTTCTGTGCCCAGTTCTTCCTAATAGCCACCAAGTCCTTCATGCTCTCTTCTCTTCATCAGCCAGATCCTTTCCATTCTGCTGAGAGGCTGCTAGTCCTCAGGAAATGTGCCTCATTTGCACCTTCTGCCTATGAATTTATGTCTGCCTGAAGTACTGTTCTGCTGGGCCTCATAATATCAAGCTCTTGGGGAAAAGCCCTTGCTTGGTTTTCGCTTCTGTGCTGCTATCATTACTATCAACCTATTTTTTATCTTCTTAGATGACTTAAACCAAAGAAATATAGACCACCATGTCAGAACTTCAATTGAAAGAATCCAGCTAACATAACTTAAAAATCCTAATTCAAACATTCTGTTAAAGCTCAAAAGTAAATAATACAGGCAATCAAACCAATTCAGTATTATAATACAAGTCTCCAGCATCTCTGAACTCATTTGTTTTTACTTTGTACTCCACATTTTAAAAACAGTAAAGCAGCCATAAAAGTGTAAGTAATAAATTTATATAACAGTCTGGCTTCCATGAAAACAAAATGTTGTGCAACAAGATTATTAATGTTTGCAAGCCTACTTTTATAGTGTAAAAGTCATGCTTAGTTTTGTAGTTGACATGTTTCTTAAGATAGATCAGTCACTCCTGCATCGCTCATGCTGATTATTCTCAGGAATTGTGTAACACTATTTTATGAAGGAAAAGATGTAAATGCAACTGACCCTGGGACTTGCTTTCAAGTTGGGTAAAAAACAGTCTGAGAGGGATTTGTATCGATAAGCCATACTGATTATGGAGCTTGTGTTTTGCTGGACTTGTGAAACGTTCAGCATTTTTGCCTGAGTCATAGCAGAGTTCACGCCATTCAGCTTCATTATTCTGAAGAGAAGAGCACAATAATAGGAGAACCAGCTAGCAGTTGATTAATACCTTTTGCCTTAATTAGAAGGGGAAAAGCAATGTGTGTTTGGTATTTCTCAGTCTGCCTGAGACAACTTCCAAACTTGCTTTGCAAATTTGACAGGGATCTACCCCGATGATCCTGCCAGGCATTAGAAAGTTGTTTGTTCTCCCTTCTCTGGCAGCTGCTGGTGAGGAGAGCCACGTTAGCGCCTTCAGTCATGTTACTCTTGTCAGCTTTGTGCTCCAGACAAGACACTGCTTGCATTCAAGATTTCTTCTCATTCTCAAATTTCATGCGTATCTACATTATATATCTGACGATGCTAAATGCATTGTCCTCTGACGCTGTGTGCCTCAGCGGAGGTGGACAGGGTCCTCTTTCATTTCCTTGCCCTAGTTTCTCTCATTCCTCTGAAGAAATGCTTTTCCGTGCCCCCC